ACCCATGGGCTACAACACCCTCTCCAGGCTGCTGCTCCCCCTCCATAGAAACCTGCTCAGACTCCAACTCCCTTGGGTGGCCACCCTGTGTAGACACGGCCCTACTCATCTTGCTTGGGATCTGACTCCCTGTGCCCTGCCCCCCATGCCCTCCTCCTCATGGACGCCCTTCTTACCTGGGTCAGGGTCTGACCCTTGCTCTGGGCTGTCAAGTTTCACCCCTTATTTGGTCCCATCTAACGGGGTGAGTTGTTGGGAAATGGAAGGGGATGAAGGAGGAGATGGAGCAAGGGAAGGAAGGGCCCACCGTAGGCCTTCAGTGTTTGCTGCTCATTACTAGAAAAAATAGAAGATAAGAGCAAACAAGGAGAAAGGCATAAAGTTTGAGAAGGTTTGGAGCTCTCCTCTTATCCCTCAGCCTACCCAGCTGGACTCACCGTACTCTTCCCTTCTTTTTTATTTATTTCCCTGATTTGGACCCCATGGGGGGAGGACAGCGGTCTTGTTTTTGGCACTGGTGGTGTGCAGACACACAGCGGGGTGAGCAATGACTCGTCGGCTTTTCATGGGAGAAGCCAGTCCATTTCCCCAGTCCCTCCTTTCTTTACTAAGTTTTATTATGCTGGACGCTTCAGTACAGGTGCTCCCACAGACCAAGGCCCTCAGAGTGGAGCTGTAAAGACCTCCAGAAGTAATAGGGTGAAGGAAACAGGCCTCGGAGGAAAGGGGCTGAGGGAGAAAGTAGCAGCCATTGGAATGTACCTGCCCATGATCAGGGACCATGGCTTACTGTAGTTTGAATCACCAGTGCCCGCTGCCTGCAAAGTGTATTTGCACAGTAAACACCTGCCAAATTGACATCCCCTCCTTCACCCTGGTGCCCACCCTGGCATGGCCCACCCTTTGACTAGGATGAGAGGAATGGTGTTACCTGGTGTGAGTTGGGGGGGGGGGGCTTCGACAGACGGGCACCAGGGACCACAGGGAATAGAGAAGGGAGAAGGGAAGGGAAATGGCAGAGTTAGCATGGGGAGGAAAGGGGAATTCCCACAGCTAGCCTGCATCTACTAGGGGATAACAGGCTTTACAGTAGTAGGTCAGTGCGTGGGAAGGAGTAGTGGAGCGCAACTGCCTTTTGGGGAAATTAGCTTCTGTGGGCAGCCCTGAACACTGAACCATATCACTGCACATTATGTCCACAAGAAATGTCCTTTGAGCTCCAAAGACCTGAGCTCAAAACAGAAAGCTGAAGGACAACCTATTCCAAAGATGAAGACTACTTTTTTCTTAGCAGGATTATAAACAAGGACACATCCTCTTCATTACACGGTGACATTCAAGAAGGTACATACAAGGTAAGGGACCGCTGTTATTCTTAATAAAATATTTACCTAACACTGTCCTGATGAAACAGATTAACATTAGTCCTTCTGCCCAAAACCCTGGTTGGAAGCCAAGTCAGGAACCCAATATAGCTTTGTCTAGGGTGAAGAAACCAGGGTGCAAGTCCATTCCAAGTGTGAGGGTGGTCTGGGGATGTAGGTAGAAGAAACAGGATGCAGGTGCCTTCTGGTCCAACAGCCAGGCATGGAGGGCTTTGTGGCCCACAGTAGAATGAATGCAGAACTTCCCCTCCTCTCTTCAAGCCACTGCCTCTCCAAGGCATTTCTCTTTCCCCACCTCCACCGCCAGGGCCCTAAAGTGAATTGTGAAGGGAGAAGGTAAATGAGCTGCTCTAGCAGATGACAGCCTCTCCAGCAGACAGGAACATCACACCCCTCACGCAGAAGGATTGCACCTCAGAGTTGGAGAAAGGGCTGTAGCTTCACTCCCAAACTTCCATTTTTTACCTTAAACTCTGAGAACTAGGAGTGTCTGCAAGCACCTGTAGGAGAATCCACCCAAAATGTGCAGACTCCAAAGGAGAGAACAATTGGCCTAGTTGAGGCAGGGGTTGAGGACATTGTCCCTTGAAGTCCTGTTGTGCAGTTTAGAATTTAACTTTACCCAAAGTAATTTAGTCTTTGCCCTTGTTTCCTGAGAGATAACTAACCCCTTGGAATTTCCTGGGTAATCGAGGTGCTTTTGTTATCTGAGGCCTCCAGACCACACCTGAGGGTTTGTGCTAACAAGTGGGGGCCAGCCTGGCCAGAAAGGCCGCCACCTTGGGCTGATGTCAGTTGACCTCCTGATGGACTGAATCATGCCCACGCAGTGAGGCCCATTAAAGGATCTGGACATGGAAGCTTCATGGTGAACCCTCCCAGACCTTGTCTTATGTGTCTCTTTGTTTGTATCCTTTTTTGCTCTAATAAAGCTATAATCCTAAATACAGCACTTTTTGTGAGTTTTGTGAGTTGTTCCAACAAATTATTGAACCCAAAGGAGCAATGGGAGCCAGTAGATCAGAAGTGAGGGGAGCTGGGTGTTCTGAGGGGATAAAGAGAACCTCTGAATTTGAAGCCAGCAGGTCAGAAGTGAGGGAGTCCTAAGAGGTCCCCCAAGCTTGCAGCTGGCATCCTGAAGAAGTAGTGGGAAAACCCCAAATCTGTAGCCAGTGAATCAGAAGTAAGGGTGTCATGCAGACTCCCAAACTTGTAGCTAGTGTCTGAAGTCTGGGGCAGACCTGGCAGCCTTGACCACTGTGTCCTTTAACGTGTGAGCTCTCACTTAGCTCTGGTTGGTTAGGGTCAGAGGAAGAAGTGCTGAATGGGCAGCTGGTGTCGGAACCGAACAGAGAAGTGGCAAGTGGGGATTTGTTATAATCCTCATAGTTGGTGTCAGGAAAAAGTGGATTTGATTGATCCTCACATTAGGAGGGATCAGTCCCTGAAGAAGGACATCATGCTTGGTAAAGTAGAGGGTCAGCAAAAAAGAGGAAGTCCCTCAATGAGATGGACTGAAACAGTGGCAACAATGGGCTCAAACATAGCGATGATTGTGAGGATGGTACAGGACTGGGCAGTGTTCCGTTCTATTGTACGTAGGGTCACTATGAGTCAGAACCAACTCAAGGCACCTAACAACAGCAACACACCTGTAAAGTTCTACAATAACATCATTTGAAGGTTCCTCAACAGATAGAAGAGGCTCAGGCAAGAAAGCCAACTCTCCACTGTAAACTGTCTGTGATGTCAAAGACTCACCTCTCTCACCTTGGTATCCAAGTTGGGCTGAGTTAAGATGATGACTGTGGACTTGGTGTGTGTGTGTGTGTGTGCGCGTGTGTGCATGTGCATATATGTGTGTGTGCCTAACGTGTCCAAAACTAGATATACGTTATGTTTAAATGTTCCATTAACCGTGTGGAGGTGTCAGTACCTCTTCCCTGCAGAAGGAACTTCTGAGGATCTGGCACACTCTAGCCATGACCCTGAAACTAAATCAACCAACAGGGAAACAAAGCCCCCTGGATGCTGTATGTGGGCATATAGTGGGGTGTCTGGACTTCAGGGATCCCTGCCTACTCAGTAGGCTGTGCTCCTTTCTGTACCTGACCTAGGTAAGCCTGTTGGGCCAGTAACCCACGGGAGGAAAGAGTGAAATGGGGTTTGGAGGGACCTGACTCCTATAAGCTCTCTAGAGTGACAGTCAAATGACAAAACTACATTCCTCAGCCCTGCTCCTGAGCCCTGGGAACAGAAGAACCACTGTGTTCTAGAGGCTTCCAGTGCCTCAGCAGCTCATCGCTGACCTGGGACAGTGCTGGGATGGAGCTGGTGTCCACAAGACTGAGAAGGGGAGTAGAGAAACACCTGGGTCCCCTTCCTGACTTTGTCCACTCTGTGGCCCCAGAACCTGGGGTTCTCTAACTCATTTCCTAGACCTGCCCACTAACTCTTCCTTTGCCAGTACCTATCTTCCTGCCTGCTTCATCCTCTTCCCTGCCCATCACACTTCCCCACCAGCATCTCCTTCATCCCAATTCCTGACTCTTCTCACCGTCCAAAGATCCTACAGTGGGAGACGGGGGAGTCCTTTGCATTCCAGATTCCACACTGAAGCAGCTGTGGCATCACAATCCTCACCCACCCCCATGCCTTTGTGTGTGCTGTTGCCTCTGCTGGGAAAACCCTCCTCCCTTTTTTGCTGGGCTAACTCTGTCCAGAATCAGCTGAGGCACAACAGAAGCCTTCCTTGATCTCTCACAGATCTGCTGCTTGAAGGCTTGTGTTTCCTCTGAGCTCTCACTGCATACTATGTTGGCCTCTAACATAGCCCTTACCATATGACATTCAACTTATCAGTGTGTTTGTCTCCCTAACCTGACCATAAGCTCTTCAAGGGCAGGGCAGTGTCCAAGGGCAAGGACTATGTCTTGGTCGTCTTTGGATCTTCACGATGCACAGCAGTGCAAGGCACACAGTGGGTACTCAGTACATATTTGTTGAACTCTACTGAACACCAATGAAGAGAACACAAAGGAAGAGTTAGTGGGCAGGTCTAGGAAATGAGTTAGAGAACCCCAGGTTCTGGGGCCACAGAGTGGACAAAGTCAGGAAGGGGCCCAGGTGTTTCTCTACTCCCCTTCTCAGTCTTGTGGACACCAGCTCCATCCCAGCACTGTCCCAGGTCAGCGATGAGCTGCTGAGGCACTGGAAGCCTCTAGAACCTGAATCCAGAAGATGGGGGCTTGGGTACTGATTTTACTTTGACCTAGCTGCGTGCTTTGGGGTATAGCAAGTCCATTATCTTCTAGGAATCTCAGGTTCTCAATCTGTAACACATGGTCAATTTTATGGGGTAGTTGAAGGGCTACAATGAGATCATGACTGGAGGGCATTTTATGGACTATAAGTTTCTACGCAATAATCATGAGTTAATAATTTCTTGTATTATATATCATCTTGCAGTTTACAATGTGATTTAAAATGCATTATACCATTCAACAATGTGCAAAGTTATTATTGTTATTGTTACAACAGGAGTACCTAAAAAGGAAGTTTGTTTATCATTCAGAAAGGATTTACATTACTTGCAGAAAGGATTTAAGGCAGTTTATGATGAAAACCCATGCATGAAATGGCATTCCCCATCACTCTTCACAGAGGCTGCAGAAGAGGCCCAGGAAGCTGTTGATAAAATGAATGACCACCAGGAGAATTTGAAGGAGGCTGATGCAGAGAAGGACGGAGAAGAAGGACACGTGCCAAACAACAGCTTTAGAGGGCTCCAGGCAGACGGAGTTCCAGAGCGAACGGTCATGCAAATAATTCCTATCCCAAAATATAAGGAGACCAGGGGTTGGCTATGAGTGAGAAGAGCCAAACAAGTAAACCCAATAGAAAGCCGGGGCCTCCCCTAGCTCAGGCCGCAGGACTGGAGTCCTGAGGGTGATTCTTCACTATCAGTTTGCAATTTGCAATGTTCGGAGCATCAGAGGAGCAAGATGCTAGAAAGTGTAATCAAAAGGAGGTTGTAATCCATCTCTGTGTCTTTCTGTCACTCACTGTCTCTGAAAAGACTGCAAATCCAAGTCTCCATTCATTTACCTGTTATGCAGGTCTTTGAATGGGTAACCGTACTTCCAAGCTTGTGTCTGGTTGAAGGACGAGACATCAAACATGCAAAAAGGACCATCTTTCAGGGCTACGCCAGAAGTGATAAAGCAAATCAAGGCTCCAAGCAAAGCCAGGCCACTTGACAACAGAGAAGTCAACATCTGCTGAGGGAGAAAAGAAACAGTGGGTCTGAGATGAGATGGTGATTACGTGACTTGCGGGGCAATTCTAGACAAGTCTAAATTCTCTGGTGCTCAGGCTTTCTCCCATCCGATCACATGGGGATAATCCTACTGACAGCATTTCCTTTAATACATAACCAAGGTGGGGTGGTTGATGAAGGGCAGAGCCAGGAAGGGGTGAGACAGAGAGGACTGAGAAGGGGGAAACATGGGCACTTGGACCTGGATCTCCCTGACTTAGCGGGCTCTTTGAAGCTGCTCAGGAGGTTGGCAACAAAAACCTTTACACTCATACCATATGACCCAGTAATCCTAATCCTGGATATCTACCCAGAATAAGTGAAGGCAGGAATGCAAACCGAAACCTGTACACCAATATTCATCGCAGGACTTTACACAATAGCCAAAACGTAGAAACAACTGAAATGTCCATCAATAGACGAGTGGCTAAACAAAATGTGGTACACAGATACAATGGAATAGTATGCAGCCATAAAGAGAAATGAAGTCCTGAAGCATGCCACAACATGGATGAATCCTGGAAATACTATGCTGAGTGAAATAAGTCCGTTGCAAAAGGACAAATACTGTATGATCTCATTTACATGAAATAAGCAAATATGTAGAAACCGAAGATTACTAATGGTTACCCGAGGTGGGAGGGAGGGAGAAGGGGGAGCTTTTGTTGAGTTTATGTTAATGGTGGTGGAATGTTTTGGATGAGGACAGCAATCGGTAATGGTGGCACAGCATGAAAAATGACATCAACATCATTGAGTTGTAAATGTGGAAGTTGTGTAGGAGGATGTTTTGGTGTATATGTTTTTCACCACAGTAAAGTGAGAGAGAGAGACACCTTTACACGCAGACTGCAGTCATTCAAGTCATTCTGTGTTAAAGGGTCGGATTGGTTACTTCATACCAAACCAAAAACCAAGCCCATCGCCATCAAGTCGATTCCAACTCATAGACACCATATAGGACAGAGTAGAACTGCCCCATAGGATTTCCAAGGAGTGGCTGGTGGATTCAAACTGCTGATCTTTTGGTTAGCAGCCACTTAACCACTGCACCACCAGGCTCCATACTCACCTCTAATTCTTCTAAGAAAATCTGTATTTTCAAAAGTTGCAAGCTTCCATCCTTGATTACTCTCTTTCTCAAATCAAACACAAGAGAGAGGAAGGAAGGAGAGTGGGAGGTAAGGAAGGATGGAGGGAAAAGATGATGGATGGATGGAAGGAAGGAAAGATTACAGTCCAGCTTTGAAAAGACTCCAGTTCTGTAATTGTACTTTTCCAATCGATATTTTATTTGGTTGTTAGCCTGTGCTCCACTCATTTCCCTCCTAACAGATAACAATAGGTTTCTTTCCTTGACAGGATTCTAGGTTGATTCCAAATTGGCTTTTTTCTTAGTGCACTAGATTTTTTTCTCCATCCCAAAGAATACATATTTCAAAAATTTGAATAAAACATTCAAACAGGTTTTTGCACAGAATCATAGTCATTTTCCCACTGATGCCAAGCTGGTTTGAAGCTTAAGAGGGGCCAGAGAAAGATACACAGTAAGTTTTGACTCTAAGTTAAAAGATTCAATATGACTTACATTCTGATTTAAGCCTAAGGCAGTGGTTCTCAAAGTGTGGTCCCTGTACCAGCAGCATTGGAATCCCTGGGAACTTTTTAGAGATGCAAATTATCAGGTCCACTCCAGACCAGACCTACTGAATCAGAAACTCTGGGGGTGGGACCCGATAATCTGTGTGTTAACAAACCCTCCAGGGGATTCTGATGCAGGCTAAAGTTTGAGAACCACTCACCTAGGGGAAAACCAGTCATGACTGAGAAGAGCTAATGAATAAAATGCGTCGGTGTTTGTATTTAATTCTTTAACATATAACTCTGAGTCAGTGGGGTTCCCAGTATGTGGGCTGCAGCTATCCTAAGAGGTTGAAGAGTTACTGTAATGAGTCCACATCTTCATGTGTCTGAGACTGAATAATTAGTACATCTAATACATACATGTACCAGGGTTTTTCAAATTTAGATAGATGCTGCTGTAATTAATAACATGCAAATGCATTCTGGGCCTCAGTTTCATTATTTGTAAAATGGAGGGTGTGGACTAGAATCTAGTCACTAGATGACCTCTGGAGAACCTTCCAGCTCTAAGAAAATATGAAGTAAAAGAGTCAGGAAATTTGCTACCAGTGATACGTGATTACAATGTACATAACCTATGTCCATATTTTTCAATTTTCTAATAATAATAACAGTTCCTCACATTTGTATAGAAGTTACATTTGTGTAAACGTTTATGGTTCACGAAGCATATACTCTCCCTTGAATTGATCCTGTTAACTGTCATTTTATGGATGAGGACTTAAAGCTTGGAAGGTGAAGCAACTTGTCCAAGAGCTTAAACTTGTTCAGTGGCACCATAAAGACCTGCCCTCAAGTACCAAGACCGAAATTCTTTCTTACCACTCTGCCTCTAGAGTAATAGAATGTGGAGACATTCTAGGTATTAGAACAGTGAAAGCTGGTGCTTACACTTCTGCAGGGCCTGCTCTTACTGAAGCAGCCACATCTCCAGCCCATCAAGGAGATGAGGATAGCCGCAGTGAGTACCTGGGAAAGGAGAGAAGAGTGTTAAGAAGAGATTGGGTGATCTAGGTTTCTAGCTGTGCTGCAGCGCTGGTGGTGCAGTGGTTAAGAGCTTGGCTGCTAACCAAAAGCTTGGCAGTTTGAATCCATCAGCCGCTCTTGAAAACCCTATGGGGCAGTTCTGCTCTGTCCTATAGGGTTGCTATGAGGTGAAATCCACTCAGTGGCAACAGGTTTGGTTTTGGTTGAGCTGCAGCCCAAAGCTTATTCAATTGTTGAAATAGAGTAGTTAGACACCTCACATGGACTCGATTGTCCTGTATTTCCCAGAGGATTTAGCTTTTGACTGTCAGGACCCAATTTTGGATGACTAGCCTGATCTGACAAGCAGCCCTGGTGGTGCAGTAGTTAAAGCACTCAGATACTAACCGAAAGGTTGGTGGTTCAAACACACCAGCTACTTTGCGGGCGAAAGGTGTGGCAGTCGACTTCCATAAAGATCACAGCCTTGGAAACCCTAAGGGGCAGGGTTCCGGTCTGCCCTATAGGGTCACTAAGAGTTGGAATTGACTCGACAGCAACGGGTTTAGCCTGATCTGACGCTGAGTGGAAATGTTCACGCCCAGTCTGCCTCATGTCCAAGCTAAAATCCAGCAACCCTTGACAAGTCTTCCTATTGTGTCCTATCCCTTGGAACTTCTATGGATGCAAGGCCAGCTTATTAGATCAAACTTCTTTGCAGGGAATCAAAACACCATTCCCCCACTACGTCCCTGTTTCACCCCTGAGGGGCAGTTTGGGAGTTCACACTCAGGGAACTCCAGACACTTACCATGAGGCCTCCTCCCCAGAGCCCAGAGCCTAACATGGCATGTGTGCCAACAAGGCCCCTCAACAAGTAGGTGACATCCCAGTTAGGGAAGAGGAGTGCCATGTTGGCCCCAGCAGCAAACAGGGCAGTAGTCCCAAGGCTCAGCCCCAGGATGCGAGAGCAGGTCCGTGAGCATGCCATCACACAGGCAGAGGACAGGGTTCTGGAACTGATGGAAGGAGAGTCATGGTAGCACTGCTGCTGGGAGCATGGAATGGGGGAACCTCAGTAGCATAGGGTGGGGTGGGAGAAACAGATCACAGAAACCATTAACTCCCAGGGTCAGATCAAGGAAACCCTGCTCCTCATAAAGCTTCCCCCAATGAATAGGGTCTAATTGCTCTATTATCTGACATCCCCTCCTACAAACACTCCCCACCCCATCACATTTTGATTATACCTCTATTACAGCCAGTGATCTTTTCTATTTGGTAAAGAAATTCTGAAAAGTGCCATCATGATGTCTGCTGTCACTGCTTCTACTCAACATTGTACAGGAGACCCTGTTCAGTAGAATAAGAAAAGAAGAAGAAACAAAAGCCATACAGATTGGAAAAAAATAAATAACATTGTCATTAGTCACAGATAACATGATCATGTATGTAGAATATCCTAAGAAATCTATCAAAAAGTTACTAGAATTAACAGGTAACTTTAGCAAGGTTGCAGGATAAAATATTAATGTACAAACATTCTTTTGTATTTCTGTAACAAGCAATGACAAATTGAAATTAAAAAACAATACCACTTACAATAACATAAAAGTATAAGATACTTATGGAAAATTTAACAAAATACATGCAAGACCTGTACACTAAAAAATTACAACACTTTGCTGAAAGAAAATAAAGAAGGCCCAAATAAATGGAGAGATATATACCATGTTTGAGGATCAGAAGATTCAATACTGTTAAGGTGTCAGTTCTTTCAAAACTGATGCATAGATTCAATACAATCTCAGTCAAAATCCTAGTAGGGTTTTGTTGTAGAAACTGATAAGCTGAATCTAAATTTATATGGAAATGCAAAGGACCTAGATTAGCCAAAACAATTTTGAAAGAAAAAGAACAAAGTTAGAGGACTTACACCATGTGATTTCAAGACTTATTATAAAGCTATAGCAATCAAGACAGTGAAGTAATGGTGTAAAGACATATAGACGATTGGGACAGAATACAGATTTCAGAAATAGATCCAACATATGCGATCAAATGTTTTTTTTTATTTTAAAGATGGTAGTTCAGTTCCCACTGAACTGAATAGGATAGTCTTTTCAGCAAATTATGCTGGAACAATCAGCAGTATGCAAAACAAAAAATTTACCTTGCCTATTACTTCACATCATATTCAAAAACTAACTTGAAATGGATCATAGACCCAAACATAATCAAATTTCAAGAAGAAAACATAGAAGAAAATCTTTGGGACCACGGGTTAAACAAAGATTTCTTAGATAAAATACAAAAAACATAACCAACCAAAAAATAAAAAATCAGACTTCCTCAAAATTAAAAATTTTCTCTTTGAAATAATACATCATTAAGAAAATGTAAAGGCAAACTTCAGATTGGGGGAAATATTCGCAATACATATAACTCAAAAAGGACTTGTATGTAGACTATATAAAGAACACTTAAAACTCTATAAGACAAACAACTATATAAAAAATGGGCAAATAATTTGAACAGACACTTCATCTCACCTCACACAAGAAGATACATACATGACAACTACAAACATGAAAAAATGCTCAATATTATAGGGAAATGCAAATTAAAACTACCAGGAGATACTACTACACACTCACTGGAATTGTTACAATGAAAAAGTCACACTATACCGTGATGTTGATGGAGCAACTGGAATTCTCATAGATTGCTGGTGGGAATGCAAATGGTAGTCACTTTGTACAGTAGCTTGGCAGTTTCTTATAAAGTTAAACATATACTTACTAAATCATCCAGTCATTCCACTTCTATGTATTTGTCCTAGAGAAATGGAAATACATGTCCACACAAAGACGTGTACTTGAATGTTCATAGCAGCTTTATTCATAATAACTAAAAATTAGAAATAACCCAAACGTTGATTAATAGGTGAATAGATACATTGTGGTATAGCCATACAATTGAACACTACCACTAGGCAATCACAAAGAATAAACCACTGATACGTGCGACAACATGGATGAATCTCAAAAGCATTACGCTAAGTGAAAGAAGACAGAGTCAGCACAACTGGACCAAAGCAAAAGTATGAACGTTTCCTAGACACATCCAAACACTCAGAGGGAGCGAGTAGCTGGGGTTGGGGGCTGGGGACGATAGTCCTGGGGGACATCTAGGCCAGTTCTATATCCCACTTTGGTGAGTAGCCTCTGGGGTCTTAAAAGCTTGTGAGCAGCCATCTAAGATACATCGATTGGTCCCATCCCATCCGGAGTAAAGGAGAATGAAGAAAACAAATGACACAAGGAAAATATTAGCCCAAAGGGCTAAAGGACCACACAAGCCTGAGACTCCACCAGCCTGAGACCAGAAGAACTAGATGGTGCCCAGGTACCACCAACTTCTCCGACAGGGATCACAACAGAAAGTCCCAGACAGAGCGGGAGAAAAATGTAGAAGAGAATTCAAATTTACGAAAAAAGACCAGACTTACTGGTCTGACAGAGACTGTAGGAACCCCCAAGACTATGGGCCCCGGACGCTGCTAAGCCAGAAATGAAACCATTCCTGAAGCCCACTTTTCAGACAAAGATTAGACAGGCCTATAAAACAAAACACATATGCGGAACATGCTTCTTAGTTCAATCAAATACATGAGACCAGATGGGCAACTCCTGTCCAAAAGCAAGACGAGAAGGCAGGAAGAGACAGGAACTGGATGAATGGATAAAGGAGCCCTGGGTGGAGAGGGGGAGTGTGCTGTCACATTGTAGGGATTACAACCAATGTTACAAAACAATATGTGTATAAATTTTTGAATGAGAAATTAACTTGAGCTGTAAACTTTCACCTAAAGCACACACACACACACAAAAGACAGAAACAAAAGATTACTCACTATATGATTCTGTTTCTAGAAAAGGCCAAACTATAGTAACAGAAAGCACATCAGTGGTTGCCAGGAGCTGAGAATGGGAAAGGGTATCAATATAAGGAGCACAAAGAAACTTTTTAGGTTAAGGAAATAGTCTATATCTAGATTCTGGTAAAGAAGCCCTGGCAACACAATGGTTAAGCACTCACTGCTAACCTCATAACTCAAAGACTGGGGTTCAAATTCACCCAGATGCTCAGTGGGAAAAAAGACCAGGTAATGTTCTCCTGTGAAGATTACAGCCTAGAAAGCCCTATAGGGCAGTCACATTGGGCCGCTAGGAGTTGAAAATCGACTTGATAGCACCTAACAACAATGACAAGATTCTGGTGGTGGATACACAGCTGTATGCTTTTGACAAAACTCATCAAACTGTACTCTTAAAATTGGTGTATGTCACTTATACATCAATAAAGCTGATTACAAATTAAAATGACATGTCTAGATAAATTACAAAATGCCTCCGCCTCTCATTTTCCTATACTCCTTTCCCTATTTTATATGTTCACTGATACGTCAACTTTTTTTTTTTAATTAAAATAGGAATAGTAGTATTTACATAGACTCATGTCACCTAAAATCTGAAAAACATCTGAATCTGAAAAAAATCAGGCCGGGACATCCCCAGAATATGGCCTGTTCCCACTTTGCAGTCCAGATACATGTATATCTCCTTTTAAGGCTGAGCTCCTTGAAAGCAGGAATCCACTATAACACATTGCTTTGCACATAATCTGAAAATATGTATGTGTGTGTCTATCTGTCTTATCTATTTATCTATACGGATCCCCTGGTGGTACAGTGGTTAACAACCCAGCCGCTAACCAAAACGTAGGCAGTTCAAATCCACCGGCCGTTCCTTGGAAACCCTATGGGGCAGTTCTACTCTGTTCTATAGGGTTGCTATGAGTTGGAATCAGCTCGACAGCAATGGGTTGGGTTTGGTTTGGTTTCAGATATATACATATGTATGTACACATAGTGGAGCCCTGGTGGCCCTGTGCTTAAGAGCTTGGCTGCTACCCAAAAGGTTGGCAATTCGAATCCATCAGCTGCTCCTTGGAAGCCCTATGGGGCAGTTCTACTCTGTCCTGTAGGTCACTGTGAGCTGGAATCGACTTGATGGCAACTTTGTATTTGTGCTTGTAAGTTGTAAATACAACCAGTTCTTAAAAAAACGTGATTACCAGTAATATCATTGAAGCCCAGGTGTGTCCTCCCCAATTCTACCATCTTCCTGGCCTCCACCCGAGAAACAACTGCCCTAAATTTTGGTTTTATCATACCGTTTTAAAAAACCATTTTTCAATTTAAGAATTCAATTCAAAACCAAAAAATTTGATTTGTCTAGTGTTTTCTATTTGTTCAGAATGCAGTTTAGGGTAAAGAAGCTGGTGCCGGGCACTACGCTGCCCAGGCTGTTTGGTTTGGGGATGTGCTCCGGTTCTTTCTCTTTCCACAGCCCCTGGTGACCTTTGCTTCCCCTCATCTCATTCCCCAATTCGCCTCCCCCAACGCGGAACTTCCTGCTGTAATCCTATTCCAGTGTGACAAGTACCCTTCACTGTGTGCCCCCTCCACAGAGTATTTGCCCTCTGAGCCATGTTTTTCACAGTGAATGAAACAACTACCCCTGTTGTGAGGAAGGTCAGGTCTTGGTGGAGGGGCGGAACAGCGGCACTAACTGCAGGGCTACAGGGGCCAAGAGGGCAGGGTGGGATGGCGAGCAGGACACACGATTCACTCTTCCCCTGCCTCCTCTCCCAGGCTGGGCCACCGCAGGAGCCCTTTTCTGAAGCAGGCTTCCAGCACCGACTGCTTCCTCCCTGTGAGAGAAGGCAGCCCTGCTGTTGGGAGACGTGGGCCAGCAGCGCTGTTGTGACGCATGGTGCAGGGCTCTCGTCGTGTGTTCCTGGGTTGGGGTAACAACGCTAACCCGCTCCCTTCCTAGATGACTGACATTATGTCGGAGGCCAAAGGAAGGGCGAGGGTGTGGTCAAACTTTCAAGTATGCGTTCTAAACCTCGAGCAGTGAGACCTTTTGTTCATGGAACAAGTCATACCACCTATGGGAAAGCCTGTCCTAGACACAGATCCCCAAAATAAACCCCCATGAACGTCTCTTCAATGGGAAACTTTTCTTATCAGGGAAGTCTTAGAAGGGAACCTACAAATTAGGAACATGCAAAGGGAAAATTAAGAACTTGACTGTGGCCTCCTGGTAGGTGGAATTCAGAGATTCCTAGCCTACCACTGATCTTAAGTTAAAAGCACTTGCTGTGCTGTGCTGTTCTAGCTAGGAGGACTGTGGCTTAATCTGAATTTCACTTCTCTCTTTGTTCCCCTAGAAATCACAACATTCTGGGAAATGCTCCCCCAAAAATGTGAGCCGAGATGAGCAAAGAATTTGGCTAATTTGATTGTCTGAAGGGACAAGTAGAATCCTCAGGTAAAACCTTAAAGCCCGGCTTTAGCGAAGGCCCTGTTCTAACTTGAGATCCTAGCTGGGTGAACAAATTGTTGGCTAGATGTCCGGGCAACAATATAAACCATCAGGTACATCATATGAGGAAGAGACTGCAAGTTTCTCCTTGTGTCTATCTACCTCACCCGTCACCTGGCCAGTCTTTTCTTTCATTCCTTCATCAGTCAGATACTTATTAAGTGACCACTCACTATCTGCCCGAGTCCCCAGGTGGTGCAAACAGTTAATGCGCTCGGCTGCTAACCAAAAGGTTGGAGTTCGAGTCTACCCAGAGGCAAGTTGGTAGAAAGTCTGGATGATCTACTTTCGAAAAGTCAGTTCTTGGAAGCCCTGTGGAGCGCAGTTCTGCTCTGACACGTATGGGGTCACAATGAGTTGGAATTCACTCAGCAGCAACTGGTTTTGATTTATAGTGCTGATAGGCTGGGGATAGACACAATGATCAATCAGATACGGGTCCTTCTCTTGAGGAATTAAATTCTAGTGGGGCCACTGGCTAGTCAATAAGCAATTATAATGAAGTGTGCTAAATGCTAAGCAAGGTGTCCAAGTGAAGGTGTGAGGCAAGCACAAGGAAGAACACCGAGCCCTGTCCTGCAGGAGCAAGATAAAGCCTCCTACAGGAAATGCTGTCTAAGCAAAAACCTGACTGATAGCAAGACATTAGATAGGCAAAGCTGGGAAAGGAAAGGTATTACAGGCACGTGCAAAGGCTGGAAGTTGACAAAGTGAGGGACAAGGAGAGGTTAAATGAATTGCCTGAGGTCACACAGCTTCTAAGTGACAAATCCCAGGCTTGCTGAGTTGGAAGTTTATGCTCTTAACAACTAAGCCATGCTGCTCCCCAGCCATCACCTCACTGGACCCTTTCACCTCTGCTTACCTGCATCCAGTAGCAAAAATCAGGGTGGAAGAGAAAGAACCTGGAGAAGGGCTTCCTCTTCAGAGTGGGCCTTTGCTCCCACAGGTCCAGCTAGAACGCCTGCAGGGCCTAACTCAACGTTCCTCTTTCAAGGCTCTCTCCAGAAGGGCCACAGAGGCTCTGCGTATATGTAGAGGTCACCCAGACTAGTGTGTGTGTGTGTGTGTGTATGTGTGTGTGCCCGCGAGCGCGCTCCCACGTTCCTCCCCACAGGCCTCCCTTGAGGAGCTTCCTCTCTCTGGAAAGCCCTCTCCTGATGGCCACCCTCTTCTCATCTTCATGTGATCCTAAGGAAGGAAACAAGAGGCCTGGGCCTCATGAGCTAGAATGTCTTAATGAGTCAGAGAATATACTCATGAGAAATAAACACCTCACCCTCATTTCTTCCACAAGCTCCAATACTTTCCCACACACCAGCTGTCTTAATCATCTAGTGCTGCTATAACAGAAATACCACAAGTGAATGGCTTTAGCAAATAGAAGTTTTTTCTCTCACAGTCTAGTAGGCTAGAAGTCCAAATTCAGGACACCAGCTCCAGGGGAAGGCTTCCTCTCTTTGTCAGCTCTGAAGGAAGGTCCTTTTCATCAACATTCCCTTGGTCTAGGAGCTTCTCTGCACTGGGACACAGGGTCAAAAGGACACACTCTGCTTTTGGCACTACTTTCTTGGTGGTATGAGGTCCCCTGTCTCTCTGCTTGCTTCTCTCTTTTATATCTCAAAAGAGATTGACTTAAAACACAATCTAATCTTGTAGCTTGAGTCCTGCCTCATTAACATAACTGCTGCTAATCCCACCTCATTAACAGCATAGCAGTAGGATTTACAACACATAGGAAAATCACATCAGATGACAAAATGGTAGACAATCACACAATACTGGGAATCATGGCCTAGTCAAATTGGTAGACATTTTGGGGGGATATGATTCAATCCATAACACCAGCTGACCATATCCTCATCTGTTTCACTGACTGCAGGATTTGGGGATTTTGGAAGAACAGTGCTGAGCAGAGCAGCCACCATTTTTTCCTTATCACCCTCTTTACTTTGCCCTTAGCTGACTGGATATGTTGCATGGTTGGGGCACTAGCCTTCTAACTTTTTTGTGCCAGCCGCAGGCTACCATCATCTTGTAACACAGTCACACTAAACTGCTAAGCATTTTGTGGTGTTCTGCATGGGAGACTTGTGACCCACCCTTTTGACAAGCTCCCATTCAAGATCCAGTTTAAACATCCCTAGAGATGTTCCCCGATTTCTCCACTCAGAGTTAGGGCCTTCTTTCTCTATGCTCCCGTTGTATTTAATTTGTTTTTAAAAAGTTAGGTATTACATTACATACACACAGTAAGATGCACAAATTTTAATTATACAACTGGTGAGTTTTTACATGCACACTCATGTAATCACCACACAGATAAAGATATAGGACATTTCTGTAGTACATACATACAATGGAATACTACTCAGCCAGAAAGAGAAATGAAGTCCTGATACATGTTATAATATAGACGGAGCTTGAAGACATTATGCTGAGTGAAAAATTCAACCACAAAAGGACAAATATTGTACGATCTCACTTACATAAAAAGATAACAACAGGCAAATGTATAGACACCAAAGTTTTTTAGTAGTTACCAGGGAAGGTGGCGGAGGAGGCGGGGGAAGGGAAGAGTTGTTTCTTCTGGAGCACTGAGTTTCTGTTTATGGTGATGGAAAAATTCACATTTATTAAGGCTCAGGGTTGCACAGCTAATTAATGTAATTGATGTTAATAAGTTGTACAGCTGTAAAAAATTAAATTGGCAAATGTTGTGTGGTATGTGTGTTTATAACAACAACTACAAAAGAGCAGCTGTTGAGTCTGCTTATGTGCAACCAAACACCTCATGGGATTTGGTTCCTTGGTTTGGAGGCTTAGAGTCATGGTTTCATGAGACATCCTGGATAATTAGCCTAATATCGTGTTTAGTGCTTCTGTTCTACTTCTTAGTTCATTGGCGTAGTGCCTGGGGTCTTAAAAGCTTGCAAGTGGCCATCCAAGATACAACAATTGGTCTCTATTTTTCTGGAGCAAGAGAGGAAGGAGGAGAATCAGCAACAGGAATTCATGAATGATTGCCTCCAGGAACAACTGCCTCCTTTGCCATGAGACCAGAATTGGATGGTGCCCGGCTAGAAGAATCCTGATCAAAAGGGGGAAAATGCAGAACAGAATTTAAAATTTTCATGGAATCCAGTCTTTCTGGAGCCACTGAGGCTGGATGAACCCATGAACTATTGCCCCAGGATAGTCTTTAAACCTTAAATGAAAGACGTCCCCTGAAGTCTTCTTTAAACCAAACAATAGTTTGCTCAATTAGTAAAGAATGTGTCTTGAGCACTGTGCTTAAAGAACTATCTGTACGACAGAGTAGAACTGCTCCATAGGGTTTTCAAGGCTGTAAATGTTTAAGGAAGCAGACTGCCACATCTTTCTCCCACAGAGCGGCCCAGTGGGTTTGAACCGCCAACCTTTCGATTAGCAACTGAGCGCTTAACCACTGCACCACCAGGACTCCTTTATTGCCAGTTTCTCAAAATGTTCCTACCAATTTACACTCCCACCAACAGCGTATGAGAGTTCCAGTTGCTCCATATTCCCGGAAACATTTTCAATTCTTGGCATTGTGGTGGGTGTTTAGTGGTAACTCACTGTGGTTTTAATTTATATTTTCCTGATGAGTAATGAAGTTCAGAACCTTTTCATATACTTACTGGTCATTTGAAGATCCTTTTTGTGAAGTTCCTATTCAAGTCTTTTGCTCATTTTTTTAAATTGATCATTTGTATTTTTCTTATAGGATTTAGGAATTCTTTATAATTCCAGATACGAGTCCTTTGTCAGATACATAGACCATGAATGTTTTCTCCCAGTCTGTGGTTTGCCTTTTCACTCCCTTTGGATGAAGAGAAGTTCTTGATTTTAATTAAGTCCCATTTATCAATCTTTTATCAGTGATTAAGTGATACAACTGCTAACCAAAAGGTCAGGAGTTCGAATCCACCAGCTGCTCCTTGGAAACCACATGGGGCAGTTCTACTCTGTCCTACAGGGTCGCTATGGGTCGGAACTGACTTGACGACAAAGGGATTTTTTACTCAATCTGTTATTTTATGGTCAGTGTTTTTTGCATCCTATTTAAGAAATCTTTGCTCACTTCCCACTATTATTTATATGCTTCTTTCCTCCACAACTGTGAGATATCCTTGAGGGCGGAGGCTGCATCTTATTCTGCTCTGTATACCCATAAGCTAGCATAAAGAGCCTTGAACACGGTAGGACTTCAAGAATCCTTGATTAATGAATTCACCCACCAGATGAAGTAGCATATATATTCTGTGTACAGACAAAACAAAAGAAAAATACTGAGAAAATCTGCCACCTATATGTGAGGAGTGATAATTATAGTAGGGACTATTACAGTTTAATTCTTCTAAACTGCCTGTGAACTGTTCCTATGTATGAATTTCTATCTATGCAGATGTACAATCTCAAATTAAAGCTGGCAAACAACTACTGAAAAGTTTATTAAATAGGATCCAGTTTCCATTTTCATTGTAAAGAGTAATCATTTAGAGCGTAAATGAATTATTGTGTCTTCCCAGAGAATTGAATTTTGACTGAAGATATCAGGCTAAGGACTCACAGATCTTTACAAGAAGAAGAAACATTTATTCCCTTTATAAAGCATATTTACAAACTATCTCACTGGATCCTTACAACAGACCTAAGGCAGTAAAAGAAATGTTTGATTAGCCTCATTATGCAGATAGGGATTATAGCCCACAGGGGTTTGACCTGTTCATGGTAACTCTGTGAGTGAAGTAGGGGAGTGGGGAAATGATCCTAGGTCTTCTGATTCTACATTTCTTCCAGTACAGCACATTGATATTTCAGATCTTTTCTTTTTTACAACCCAGATTCCGACCATCTTAAGGAATTTCTTCTTGGAGGCAACACTGTGGTGCTTTGGCACCTGAGAGACCTGGGTTTCGATACTGCTACAAATACCCATCAGCTGTGTAAACTTCAGTAGTTTACAGAGTCCCAGTAATAATCTGAGCCTCAGTTTCTCATTTGTAAAATGAATTCTACCTATCTCATAAGTTTATTGTAAAAACAAGATGCAAAATGCCTACAGTAGTTCAGCTCTTTCTTTCCTTCTGTTATTGGATCTCAGCTTAGCAAAAGGGATTTTAGATGCAGTGTCTGTTAGAAGATCTTATAGGTAGGCAAGAATGTTTGATGGCTGATTGCTAGACACGACTCAGATTTTCCAAAAATATCCCTGTTCCCAACCCAGTGGCTTATCTAACAGCTGGCACCCTCATATGGATATCATTAAAATGGTGCTCTTGGGGCAATGGAAATGCTGGAATTTGGCTTTAATCACTGAAAGTGACAAACTTAGTGTGAGGCTGGTGATGGGCTTTGCTCCTTGGGGTAAATTGTGACAATTAATTCAACGATTACCCTTATGAATAAGACACTCCTTTTACAAACCTATATACTTGTGGTAAACAGTTTTACTAAGTAAGGCCAGCTTTAGGTCAAGTTTTTCACTACCATGTGGTAAGCCCTTAATGGTAACAGCAGCCTGGTGCTGGCTATGTAAGACAGAAAACATTAGTGTTTTACAGGATATATTAATTTTCTTAGAATTTGGCTCTACTGGAGACACAGTTACTAGTTATCATTTGTTGGTGACATTTCTAGAGAAGGCACAAATTAAGAGCGGGGCCTGAGGTGGAAAAATAACTTACCTAATGCTATAAAAAGCTTTCTAAGGCTGAAAGGCCTGGGGGAACAGGAAAGACAGATGTTCCATTGTGAGGGATACTGTGGGGTCTGGAGGTAGAATAGAGGAATAGAGGAAACTGAGCAAGGAATAGAGGAAATGGAGAAAATGGAATTCACTGGTGGGAGGGAAAGGGAAAAGACGATAAAGCCAGACAATCAGGCCAGCTGT